TGATAACGTAGTGCAAGCTGAATCCTTGGGTTCCTTTAAATCAGAGCTAGATAAGATTTTAACCTCTCTGAGCTATTAAAGTTCTCCCCAAGCGAGCTCGATGGGCCGAATGGCCTCCTCTCGTTTGTATAGTTCTTATGTTCTTATGTTCTTATGTTCAACCTCCTGCATTTTGACCATTGAACAACGTACACTGCCTCCCTCATCACATAAACTAATGCCCAGAGGTGGAGATTTCAGGTCCAGAGAGTACAAATCCAGACCAAGATTTTGTTTCAGCCAACCAGTTGAGTGTAAAGAGTAACAGTCACAGAGTACTCAACTGTTTGGCTGAAACAAAATCTTGGTCTGGATTTGTACTCTCTGAACTTCAAATCTCCACCTCTGCTAATGCCTGATGGCATGGGTTGTGCCCCCCACCCACGAGGAACACAGGCTTCTATTTTATTTGAGTTTTATTTATTAATAAAGGTTTCATCCTAACACAAATAAGATGATCTGCCATTTTCTCCCAGTGGCATATTATTGTCCTTGCATGGCACCAGCTTCAGGGAACAATGTTTGAACCACTGGGTGAACATGGTCCTCCAGAATGGTTTGATAGTCCTTGGCAGTGACACACCCATCTTGACCATCATTGCACCACAAAGACTTGCTGTCATGGTCACAGATGCACCAGCACGATGTGCACGCATTTGTCCTCTTCTGAACCGTGATATGGCTCTCATTATGTTGTGTGAATTGCAATATTTTATGTACAGCTGTGCTATTGCTCTGCTACTTCAACCTTCACACTCTGCTCTTACTGATGGAGTGTACAATCACTGAAGATTGGCCACCGGGCCGTGCGTATGAAGGCTTGAAACCTCAAACCCTATTTTGGCCAGTGTTTCAGTTTCATTGTCCAACCCTTGTATACATAGTAATCTCATGTACTGCTATTCTGCCTAAAAATATGGTTTTTGGTCCATATCTCCCCCCTCTGCCTTGCCGCCCCATGAAAATCTTGGCCCCGTCCCTCAGGTTTGTTATGATGCCTGCACTGGTTCTGCTTCCTCTAAACAAGGCTCTCTCTGTTATTTATTATTATGAGAAGTTTTTAAACCAGTGACAGGAATATGTCTTTCACACTTGCAAATCCTTGAAACATTGCAAGTGACTTGAATGGTCACATTAGTTTTTCTTGATCTTCCCAGGACATTAAAGTCAGACAAACAATATGAAGGAACATTGTCAATTTAGTGATTTGAACTCATTTACTGTGTATCTCACACACTAATGGCTGTATAAACTTCAACCTTAAAGCTTATTTGTGACATTTAAAGTTGAAAGAAAGGTCGTTGAGGCCCCGCAGGAGAATGCCATGTGAATCTTCGCTGGTTGACCTTTACGCCGTGCTGATATGAGAATGCAGAGCGTTTCGACAGATACATTCCCAGAGGTTTGGTGGGCTTTTCTTGAGGAAACCATGTTTGTTTTTGTAGAGATGAAACAGCATAGAAATCTAAAATCATGATTATGGTGACCAAAATTATCATCAATATTATCTCAGTATTGTTAAAATTTTCTGAAAATGTTAAAAAATGAAAACTTGTGATACACAAACAGATCATTTCAAGTTTTATATTGAAAACCATAAATAACATTGGCAGCTTTTTTTTTGTTTAAGCATTAAAATAACGACATAGCCAGTACCTTCTGAAGCACATGAAAACCATATGAAATATGGATTAGCATTAAAAACCTCTGGAGAGCTGTCACTACCTTCCACATGTTTTCACTAATGCAAAACAAGCCCACTTGGCATGCTGTGTCCGAGCTCCTGCGTCTGAGAGACTGTTGCTAACTTTGGTTGATGTTGGACAGTATTTAACGTGAGTTTTTCGATGCGTGATAATCAGCCACGGTTTTAATGTTAACTAAAATTTGAAAAAGTAATACTAATTGTCTGGAATTTTTCTGTGGTTTACCATGAAACCGATAAGCCCTACACAGCTGAAAGGTTGCAATATATTATTATCACATATGTCCGCAGGCTTCAACATCCATTTTCATATTTCTTTTTCTGCATGTTTTGCATGCTCTTCCTGCATTAGTGTGAGTTTCCTGCACTACACTGGTTTCCTACAGCACAGAGGTTGGCAAGGTGTATACAGCATAAATCAGCATAGCTAGCATTTTCCCCTGACATCAAAATTGTTCTCGATAATTTGATTAAATAAAGACTCCCCCACCGCAGGAGGAACAGATGCCCGAGGAAGTGAATATTGATGAGCTGCTGGATCTGCAGAGTGATGAAGAGCGAAAACACAGGCTGCAGGTAGGTGGCTAATGAGTCCAGAAAGAGAGCCTAGAATACCATACTGTAAATCTCCGAGTGAAAGGTATAACCTGGATTTCTGAGCAATGTAATGCAACGCTTTATGTTCAGATAATAGTGAGGATAATATTTGGGACTGTATATTCAGTTGTATCTTTCATAAAAAGCGGATCGTCTTACATACTTATCAGTGTGTAATTTAAAATGCTCTGGTGAAAACTTGGATATAATTAAGGTGTCGGTGTAAATAAGCTGAGCATAGTCAGCCACTTCGAATTCACACAAAATGTCTCTTACCCCAGGAGATTCTTCATGCCTGCAGTAACAACACAGACGTATGTATTAATTTTATATTAAAATATTTCAAATATGACACAATTTGGAAGATGATACTTTGTATGCAGTTTGTATATATTAAATTGTATCTCATCCCAAATGTGACCTATATATTCTCGCTTTTATGGTCGTCATCAATTTCTTTGTTTCATGAAAGCTGTGTTAAATATTTATTAGTATGATATCACCATATGAGACCTTCATTGTCATGTGACAAGCATCTGCTGACGGTGCACGCTGCTGATAAAGCCATTAATCTAATTAAAGCTCGTGTTTTAGAAGTTCCTTTGAATTTGCCCATTTTTCCTGTGGTACTTTTTGCACATTCAACTATTATCCTGACTTCCAAGTAAATGCTGTATTGTTTTCCAAGTATAGCTGTTTAAACAATAGTGAATAAAAGATCAGGATTTTTTTAGTGCTCAGAATCAGTATTAGGTCATTATTATTGCTCATTAACAGTCATTTTTAGCATATTTTTGTGTCTTATGGCCCGTTTTTGTTAGGATTATTTAGTTTGTTCACAGTTATAAGAAGGATATTTTGCTTATATATCCTGAGACTGGTTTGAATTGTCTGTTAACACTCTAAGCAGACAGGTCTCTGTCCATCTTCCTATCCTGCCCCACACAAGGTATCTCCAGGCATTTTGATCATTTTATTTTTCTGGAATGAAAATATCGCTGTTTCAGATTTTAACTGACTGTACACCACAGTAGGTTAAATGGACTGCAAATCCAAACTTTGAATTAAAAATAATGAGAATATTGTAGGAAAGAAGGACTGGGTCACCACCGTGGCATCAATTTCAATCCATCGTTTCCTGTACAAGAGGATTCTTCTGTAAAGTCATTAAAGGTCACAAATTCATACCAAATATGGATTTCTAAGTAAAAGACATGGTGTTAATTGTGGGATTCTGTGTTTGAACGTTCGTAAACTGCGCATGTACACAAACACAGTGTCATATATTTTTACTATGTTATATGCAAACATGCAGAACAACAAATCGTCTTATGCACTAATTCTGTCACACACAGATGTTCACAGCTATATAGCCGTCTGACTGCCAGGAGAATGCAACTGACACTCGTCTCCACAGCGATTCCACATGAATAACAGTGCCAGCCTGTCCTGGCCCCATACAGGCCCCTCCTCACCCTTGATTTCATTACAACCGTTAAAAAAAAGACATTGCAGACTGAGCTGCATTGTCACCTCGAGCCCGCAAACTGGTGGTTTGCTGGGCTTTATGACTTACGAGGCTGCCCCTTAACTGGCAGAGTTATCCTTGGTGTAACCAAACTACTGTTCTCCACAGATGTTCATCAAAGAGCTGGTGGTGAAGCTGCACGGGTTGCAGAAGCAGGAGGAGCTGCAGAACGACGGCATGGAGCACACCCACATGCGCTGAGCCCAAACGGGGCCTTCAGCAGCTGGGGAACAGGTCACCTTCATTTCAAGTCACTCCCACTTAAACTTACTGTTCCCTGCATGAAGCCCTTTAACTCCTCAGTCCTGTGACTGAGTACCACTTCTAAGAAGAGACCCCGTCGCTGTCAATGATGTCATTGTCCCTCTCATGTCCTCCATGTACATGAAAGATTTGATACCTCATTGATGATGGGTGACAGACTGACCCAGGATCTGAGCTCTGGTGGGGGCCAGTTCCTGATTTTGCTTTAATGGGTATTGTTCAAGCAGTCAGACTGTACCTCTTTGATTAAGCCTATTAAGATTGATTTCTCTAAAGAAGGACCTTGGAAACCATTTTGTTTGGTTCATGTGCCAGAGTGGTACATTGCTTGCTAAGCGTAAGCCTTTGAATGATGACAGAAGAAGAATAGAGCCACAACCTTTCCCACGTATTGCTTTTTATAGGCTTTAAAATGCACTTGGCACAATAAAAATAATTTTAAAAATCTGTTATATTTCTGTAACTCTTTCAGGTCATATATCCAAATGCAGTGTGTTTTAATTGGAAAATAATACTGAAAATGTTAAAGTCTGCATATCATGGTTCCTTTCGGTATATTTGCTTTCTACTTTCTAGAGCTTCTTGACAAGAGCTGTACCTTTGAATAGACGAATCAATGTAGTGGTGTCTTGATACATCCACTGTATGTTTGGTCAACTTTCCTTTCCAATTAAACTTGTCATTTACTGAAAACAAAGAAATTAAATTCTCATAAAAAAAACATCGTTTCTATAATTAACTTTGGTGAGTATGTTTAGTCAATGTCACAAACACATTATAATGTCATGCTAATGACTTGTCCAGGATAAGTGGATAGAGAAAGAATGGATAGATGACATACTCACCATTGTGTAAAGCCTGCATCAGATAATTGCTTTTATTTGTCCCAGTTCCACTTACATTTGCGTTCCATCTGGGCCCCCGTCTGGTCATCTGCTTCATTATTAGCATTACTTAAATGGTTATTCTGAAAGCTAAATTTGGGAAAATGGCACCTTGAAAAACAATCCTGCTTTCTGTTCTCCCAAATCCTGAATATTATAGATTAGTCCAAAACTGAAAGGTTTAAGTAATATAAACAAACATTTAGATAAAAGAAAGCAATAAATGGCAAAGTATTTTCTTCTGTCAATGAAATTCTGCACAAGACATTTTTTTTAAAGTCCAGTAGTTGTATTAGTGGGTACTGTATGCAGTACTAATGAGTCTCTACTTTTTATTTTCTAAAATTTGTAACGTTCACTTTAGCTCCATTTTGAGATTGACTACCAATTCAGGGTTTTATACAACGTATAACCTGAGTCATTTTAATTGATAGTTTTATTTTATATCAGTTTTTCCCAATGGATGTTTTAATATTGTTTGAAATGGTTATTATTTGTATATTTTTTGAAATGAAGAAAATGTACCTTTGAAATGTTATTACTGATTGTGTTAGTTTATTAAGACTTTTTAAATTTCAATTGAATTCATTTGAATTAATTTTGTGTCACTATGATAAATCTCCATGAAATCCCATCTTAACCATCTTTTATTATGCTTGCCATAATAAGTTTCCCATGTTTATCGCTTTTTATTTATTAAAGTCACTGCTTCAAAACACAGCATCTTATTGACTTTATGCTGCTTTGTTTTCACCTTGGTTCTTTTTAAATAAATTGGAGGTGAAATGTCAAAATATCTTTTGAAATACCAAAGAACTCTGGGCACATGTATTTCTGGCTTTATCTTACACTTGAGACACCAGCCAGACCGCATTCCTAAGCAGCTCACAATTCATGAACTGACTCATACTTTTACGTTCGGTTGAGATCTGGTGACTGGATAATTCACCGCTTTAAGGTAACTTCACTGTCATGTTCAGGCAACTATTCCTGCAGTCGTGGCCTTCTGCCAAAAAAAAAACAGTCAGTGGGTACCTTCTTATCATGAATGGATCAGCTTGATTGGCAGAAACATTCACATTTGACGTGGCATTCTTATAGAGTAGCTGAAAGTGTACCACGAATACACTCTATGCTATTTCATTGCCACCACCAGCTTGCAATTCTGGCATAAATAAATGGATGTCTTTCTCCTCTCTATTTCATAGATGGATATCTCATGTTTTGTTAATTCAATATAATATCAATTTAACATGAAATACTGATTAAACATTATAATAAAAATATGTACAGACATATCATTTTTGTATTGGCAGTATGATGTAATTTACATTGAGAATTCTGTAATTGGCCGCTAGATGTCAGTAAAGGACATGGATCTAGGTTGTCCGGACTGCACTGCTGCTTGCTGTCCTTTTGACACAGTAACCGTCATCAGTTGAGGTTTGCACACCCAACAGTAGAAATGCCTATTTATTTTATACAAATGAAAAGAAAACACTTGCGTAGGTCATCAAACTCTTCACCTTGTATCATTTATTTCCTCAGATACAATTTAGTTTTCTTATTATTCAAATTTATTTGATTTAGATTTTTATGTAGTGTGTGAGACAATTTACCAACTCACGAAGCGCTGTTTTCTGACTGCATACACTGATATCCAGAAATGTAAATATTCTCTTTAAATAAATACGCAGGAGTACGCTCTGTGACATCATATGAGCGAAGGGAGGCTCAGCATTCCAAGACATTACCTCTCTGCCTTCCTTCCCAAAACTTTAGAGAAAAGGTTGCGCCTGCCAAGTAATGCCGTGGATCTCACAGTAGGAGAACTACCTGTAGAAACAAAAGGAGCCACATCAACAAACACCCTGACAAAGGAAGTCGGAGAAAGAAATGACCAAACAAATCCAAATCTGTCCCCTTTCACCCCAGCTACCCTCCAGCGTCCATCTAGAGTATTCTGGGTAAGATGACGTCAGGCACTATTTAAAAGTAAGTAAACAAATAAATAAATAAAAGGCGCAGAAGAATAGTTACGGCAATTAGTATAATTGGAGGCCCCCCCCGTCGAGCCCCGAGTGAGGAGGAAAGGGGATGGTCTGTTTCCTCAGGAAAAAGCACCATCTTGTACTATAATACAGTGCTGCCAGGAAGCAGAGAAGCCCTAGAGTTTGGTTGAACCTCAGAGGAGACACACGCAAAGCGTATTCAGAGAAGGTGGCACACAAATCAGTTATGCCACTGCATTGAAGCTGAGAGACCCCTTCTGGACTATACAGGGTAAGAGCATTATTTACCGGCAGGTGAGAGTGCAGTAAATGCATAGTCCTTGCTTTTGAGCATACTTTGCTGTATCTTCCGTAATACACTCTCCTTGCATTTGCGTCTGTCTTGTTCTCTTTGACAGGATTTTACGTGTATGTAAAATTGGTTTTATGTATGTTTCAGACTGTCTTCTTTGTTGGCTTAAGCAATTAGCATAAATAACGGTTCTACGTGACGTTATGGCTTTCTGATACATTTACTGAACATCTATAAACAAGATCTTCATAATGAGAACTCCAAAACACTGTTGATTTTGTGGTTATGCTAGTTCTTTTATATTATTTCAGCACAGTAAGTAGTGTTTCAAAAATCAACAGTTATAGAGTTCCCTTTATGAAAATCTTGTTTTTATGGCATGTTCACCCAGATTATTTTTACATTCTGGGATTTTAATTATCGAACGTTCATTATTGACCAAACATCCAATACGTAACATTAAAAATCTCACACTATACTAATGATCATTCATTACCGGAAAAACTTCCTGGTCATTGAAGAGTAGTCTTATCAATTTTGTCAGTGTTTGGAGGTTTGCATATAATACATAGAGCCAATTTGCAATTTCAATATATATATATATCATTTTCATAATACATGAGGGATGTACAGAGCGTACATTATTCTGTACACGACATCATTGTGAGAATATTGTGAGAAGCCAGTATTGTGCTTTGTGCCATGTGCAACGACATTAACTATTTAACAAATGGGTAAACGATATATATCCTTATATTCATTCATCCAAGCGTCTTAGTTGAAGACAAAATGAACCTCTCAACTCTGTCCGCTCGCTGTATGTGTTCATTTGCAGCCACATGATGGGCTGTTTGGAGGAGCAGTTTGGTTGCACTAATGAGCCACTGAGATTATATATCACTTATATATATGTTTTATACATTCCATTTAAGTTTTTCACTGTGAACACTAAAATATGGAAGTTCCTTGTTTTCTAATACATCAGACTAGTTCAACTTGAGATGTGCCTCTTCAGTGATTGGACAGCTTGCTAAAAAACATTGCCTTTATGTTTATCGCTGTTTTTCATATTGCCGTTCCAATATAGGGTCATGGAGCGCAGACGGTCCACGTTTTTGCTCCCAGGGAATTGAGAGAGAGCAAAAACATGGACCGTCTCGGGGCCCCGGAGGATTGGCTTGAGAAACACTGCTGTAGATGGTGTAATACACCAAACTTGTTGAACTTTCTTGGTTTTAATGTTATCATCTCCAGTACAACAGTGTTTTTTGAGCTTTCCAACAGCTTACTGTATGCTGGAGATTACCCATGTATGGACATCTTGTGGTTTAGAAACCCAATAGTTTCTCGAAAGGTAGTGTGCCGCTCAGCAATTTAAGGATCTGTGTCCACGTTCGGATGGTGTTGGGCTTGAATTCTGCATTGGTTTAGTTATCATATCTCTGCTTGGTACTACTGGGGGAGGCTTTTAACCCCAAATACTCCAGGGCTGCAGGGTCAGAGTGCTGATAGCTCTGTGCTCTGACCCCAAATACTATGTCTTTCATGCAGTGCAAGATGGGGAATGTAAACACCCAAGAATTCCTACGTACGTTGCACAAATGGCAAATAAATTGAATGGTACAAAGGCCCATCTTTTTTTTCTTGGACCAGATAAACGTGTTTAAATAAAAAGAGTCCAGGATGCTACTGCATCCTGGGAAAACCCGCCAACGTTGAAAAATCTCTATCGCTCTGTGTATCCCTCTGCCAAAGTCCACGCTTATCCCAGCAGGTGAGTGAGATGCAGAGACCCATGAGCACCGGCGGAAGTGTAGGGGGCATTTAATAGAGGAGCTCAATGGCATTTCAGTCAGCGGGAGGCTGGCAGGGCGTTGGGGGCACGTCCTGTGACCCCTATTGGCTTAGCAAGTCCAGGATGCAGGCAGCTCAGTGCTGACAGCGCCTCCTATCAGCCCCCTTATGCAGCTGCAGTTTCTGCTTCTGGAGAGACATTAGTACTCATGGTAAATGAAAAGGACTCCGTTTGTATACCTGTGTAAAAATGCATGCTTTGCTGATAGCATAATTGAGCTTTTTTGGCTTTTGTGACTTTTTTTCCACATTTACTTGCTTGCATAATTATTCTTTATAGGTCATTTAGACAGGATGAGGAACTCTGCATGGACTCCAATCCAAAGATGTCACACAAACAATCATATCATTGGTATCCCATCCATATTAAAATACTGCTTCTGTACTTGCAGTTAAAAATCAACAGTTTTATCAGTTGTTGGTTAAACATTGGTTCTCATTGATTCAAAATTGAATAGATTCCGCAATTCCTGCTAGCTGCATAACACCTATATTGCTGGGCAATTTGGCTGGACATGGATACTTTGCTGATGAATGCTACTAGAACACAAAAACATAAAAATACACCATTGTGCTCACTGCTCTAATTCCATAGCACAACTTATTCATGTAATTATGAAACCAACAATATGCAGTTAACTTAAGTGACAGTGCAGGAAAGAAAGTAAAGACAAGATATGGAGAAACTTGTCCAATACCACCATAGACGTAAACCACAGAAACTGCTGCTTGTTGATATACACGCTAAACCAAACACTGAAATGCGTTTGTAAATTGCTGATGCATGTGAATCCTGTTGTCAAGTTTCCTGTCCCCCTCTCTTCTCTCTGACAATCAACAGGAACAAGACAGTAACTTTCTCGCATTGTTTCCAGCGAGATACGTATAGTTCATTTACAATTGTCAAGGGCCGCATAAACCGAAAATAGTAGCCCCGTCCCCACACGGCTACAGCAGACATGACAAAAAATCACACTGTTAGTCTTTCATATTTGGCAAAGTAAGCATTAACATGCTTAGACATCTGATGTTTCTGTTACCCATAGACAGAAACTGAATAAATAAACTTTTGATACTAAAAAGATTTCTCTTGTCAACCAAAGGTGAATCAGTCAAACTGGTGTTGTTTTGTCACGCCTAACCTCATGGCCTTTGTGTACATATTTGGGCACTTTGTGTAGTACAATCCCAGGTCTTAAACTTTGGCTGCTGCCAGTAACACTGAAATTTCCTTGTGTGGGATTAATAAAGTTAATGTTGCTACAGTCAGGTGGAATAGGTTAATTAGAAGACAAGCTTTACACTTCTGCAATCAGTATGAGCTCTGTGCTCTTACACAATGAAATATATCCAGATTGCTTACTATCTAAATGCCCCTTGCTTCAGAGGATATTTAATGACAGAAGATCATAGTTCCTTGTGGAGCATTCTTTAAGCATGCATGTTGCTTCACCTCTTCTGAGACATCTTATCATAGGTTGACCTCACCTTCCATATAATTCCTTGTAACACATTAGCTGCTATGGCTTCTTCTGTCTCTGAATACAAGCACACACCCAGTC